GCTGGTGGGTGATTTCAACCCGCAAGCAGTTTTCCATTGTCAAGTCAGGTATTGTAGTGTGTGGGCGAAACGCCACATTGGAAAGCACAAAGCTCTTTACATAGAATCTCCAATCCAGGACATACACTACCCAGGGAATATTGTGAAACAGTGAGAAGTGTGTGGACTTGCAACTAGACAGTCGGCCTTATCGGGTCCTTGACTTTTCTCGTGTCGCGTGAAGTCGTCCCACAGTGTGGCATGCTCCAGCTACACACATAGTACATACGCTGCTCATCTTCAGCCTATAAATCTAATCGCACTGGCACAGACAGGACCATGGTTCAACTAAGTATACAGTATATATCAGTATATGTTTTGAATCAATGGTTTAGTGCAAGGTGTTTATGCCAATCGCAGTGGCGCATGCTTACTGAGAGTACTATATACGCACGGGCAGCATCTAAAAGCAATCATGGTGGCATGCAGAACATGGGTTCACCCCCATCGCGCGAAAGATACAGTATTGTTTCAGAAGCCAGTGTGTCTCTGCAAAGCTATCCAAACGCCGCAAATTGAATAAGAGGCGAACAAGGATTTCCACCAGATTGATCCGGCACCCTGGTTTTCTCGCTTCACTCTTTAGCTTCTGAGACTTCGGGGTCAATTCTATGAGGTGAGCCATCCAAGGGCCACATAAGTAGGAACACGGGACGTGCATACTTCTCCATCTTGCTGGCCCCAGTTCTGCAGAAGTGGAGGCTTGAATTCTCCACTTTCCAACATGTGCAAAATTCACGTCAGATTTGTGTGCATTGATGGAAGCTATTCCAACACTGCAAATAGAAAGAGGTATGGTGTGCATGCTACGAGTTTTGTGGGTGATGGTGTGCCTGGGGGTTCGACATGGCGCGGCGACTTCCTGTTGCGGCAGCGAAAGGTCGAACTCCAAAAGTGCACAAACACCAGCCAGAGCGTCCGATCGCTCCGTTCGTAGCGATGCCCTTTGCTCCGCTCGTAGCGTCCTTGCTCCTAGTAGTAAGGCCAGGAGCCCCTAGTAGCGTCTGTTTGCTAGGAACATTGGTTTTTTCCGTCTGTTTGCTAGAGCCAGTAAACTACTCAGCTTGCGACAGCTTCCACAGCCCAATCTGCCCCAAAGGAAGGACATATGAGAAACAAACATTTTCCTGCCTGGTGGCCCATGGCGAAAGGTAGAGGAGCTGCTTCACCGGAAGGATCTTCAGCAGGCCATGGGACCATGCGGGTGCCATGATGTGAGGAGAGCCGTTTGGTTTCAAGCGACGTGAGGAGACCTTAGGGTCTCGTTTTGGGGTTTCATTGGGGCAGGACACAGTGTGTGATTTTGGGTGGCTGCACTTCTCCCATCATCCATGATTTGTCTTCAAGTGGTAGTCCCTCAGAAATGGAATCTGAGATGGAACCTGAATATGTTCGGAGAGTCCTTATGCTTCGATGGACAATTGAATCATGGAGTGAGGAAAGTGTAGGTTGGTCATCTTCCAAAGAATTGCGCTAGAAAGCTTCACGGTTTTGCACTGTGTGTCTTGTCTAGGTACGCCCTGATGTCCAGAAGCAACAAACGAGGCCACCAATTCTTTAAAACAGAATCTGAAAACTGCCTACTCTGCCACTCTGTTCCCAGGCCACTGCTTCAATCCCGCAGGGAATGCCCAGATGGAGCGGAGGGACGTTGCTGTTTTTGCTTGTTGTGTTCTGAAGAGGTTCATCGAACCCTACTACTTCAGGATTTGCATATTGGTGGATTGAACGAAGGGAGCGTAATCAATGTGGAAGTTTATCATTTGAAAGCCAGCTTTGTATCGTTTCGCTGGCACGTTGGAGGTCCAATGCAGACTGGTGGCTCAGGGCCAAAGCCGAGGCGGGAGGTTGAGCAACCTTCGAAGTGAGCCGCTTTGAACATCCGAAGAACAAACTTAGGAAGCTACTTATCGAGTTTCGATGACAAGAACCACAGCAACAACACACCCACAATGCCGCAACACTCCTTTGGTTAGGAGGAAGCAAGTCAGAAGGGGAAATTGGCGGTGGGTCATTCTGAAAGAATCCTAGGATACTATGTTTGTTAAGTTTCCCTAAACATCTGGGAACCAAGTCATTAGTCATTAGTGCGAGCGCTTCTTCAAGGAAGCTCCCCCCACCCTCAAGGGGGAGCTTCCTTGACAAAGCGTGAGCTATCCTGCGTCCTAGCTAGGAGCGAACAAGTTGCTAGTAGCTTGCTTCTCCCTTACTCAATTGATTATATAAGTAGGCGCCTACTATGGCCTACTTATATAGCTAAATATAAAGACGGGGCCAGGGGGAAGTGAGCAGAAAGGTTGACGACTGTGGTTGGTGTTTGTTGAAAAGCTGGGTTGCAGAGTGCACCTCGCATGGACACAGCAGAAGCCAACAGGTCCGTCCTGTCGTCGCGGCTGCTGTTGCAGAACGTGAACCAGGCAAAGTGTGAGATGCAGAACATTTTCTTGAAAGCTTTGCAGTAAAACCCCGACTGGCATACTGCTGCGCACCTGAAACCGCAGTGAACTGTGAACTGAACCTTTGTTGTACGTGTACTGGCACGCGTGACTGCCTGCACCCTTAAGCCTTAAAGCCCCAACAATTTTACAGACTTCATACAAAACTACTCAATCGTCTACTTTAGCTTCGTAGCATGTATCAGTATCATATGTACATTTATATACATAGAGAGAGAGAGAGAGAGACACTGAGAGTGGGGAGAGGAGAAGCCGGTTCACTCGTTTTTGCCCTACGGATACAACAACCCTTGCTTTTCTTTGAATTGGGTGTGTGCCGAGGTTTGACTGAGGGGAATTGGCAAGGTGTTCAGCCCCTGTCGTTGGGATCCTAGTCGCAATACTAGCTGAGACCAGACTCTCCAAACTGGAAGCGCTTGACATGGCAAAATGCGCAAAAAGGAGCCCCAGCAGTGAGAAACTTCCGGACACTCTTTGATCTTGAAAAGCTGAAATTGAAAACACATGTCGTTTTTTCATGTCATGCTCCTTGAACTTGAAAGGCACTGGAGTCAACCAACCCAGCAGCTGGGCTGAGGATGGTTGAGGTGGTCAAGGAAGAGCTCTACCGTGATGTGAGAGCACTCTGTCGGCATCATGTGTGGATGCCTCCTTTAATCCTGGATGAACGAAGGATATGGCTGGTATTGAATACCTGGACTCAGGAATGACGTGTAGGAGAATCGACAACAGCAAAGACAGGGTCTGACTATCCGTTAGTAGTAACAAGTGCATCGCTACTAGTAACAAGGGCATTACTACTACACCACAGCAAGGCGGAGTCCCCAAGGCTGCCGAAATTCTTGGGCAAGAAGGGCATTGTTGAGGTTTTGAGCAGATTCTGGTCTACATTCCCAGTATTTCCATTGATCATTGACTTTGGTTTCAAAAGCGTGCCAGATGAGAGTCAAGGTGATCACCCGATAGGGTCGAGTTGATTTTTGCTCGGACTCTCACAAGTCCTGCTTTGTTTGGGAGTTTATCCAGAAAAGGACGTGTTTTTGAGACATTGGATCTTTGTGTGCACATACCAGTCGCACATCCTATGGATGGACAGAGATGACCACACACCTGCAGGTGGGCGGTGTTCAGTATGGCCCGCGCTATCGGCAGGTCCAAGGTGCGAGGAATCGGGATCGGGGAAGCTGCAGCTCTCCTTCCAAACCGATGAGGAAAATGACCGAGCTCCCATAGAGCCGCCTAACTTGAGTGTAGCTCGGATCCCCCAATTTGGATGGACAATTGAAATAGCAAAGAGCAAATACATCTGGTCAAGGCTTTACAAGAGCAACAAAAGTATTGACCCTGAAAGCCTGAACACACCGAAATCCCTGCTGCCCTTCAGTCAAATGTCATTCTGATCTTGCGTCCTAACTTTTCACTATTCAAGGAGCCAACAACGTACCGGGATGCCTCTCTGGGCATCGGATTATTTGCCCTTTGTCCAAGAGGTTTTCGACCTCCGTTGAAGCTGATGAGCTCAGGAAAGTGCGGAACCCCAGGCGGATCTTCTTCGCTGATCTTCGCTGCACTTTTCAGAGCTCTGAATCTCAGAAACACGGGCAGAGGCGACTCTTAGGATCAGCGCATGGTTACAAATGCCAGGAGTTTGTGTTCGTAATTGTGATGCACACCACATGCAAAGCTATGTCAATCTTTTCCTTTCTCAGATGCGAAGTCCGAGTGCGGTCATTGAGGCCAGCAGTGGTGGGCGTTTTGCGGCCATCATCAGAAGCGGAGGAGACCTGCCTCTCAACTTGGTGCCTCTCCTTCAATGAAGAGCTTGCAAGATGTACCTGACCCACACAGTGGGTTCAAGATGATATTCATTTCTTGCTGCTGTACCAACTGTGCACGCGCATTTTTTGGTTTGGGAGCTTCAATTTGCCTTTTGCTCTCTGCAGGAGTGGGAAACACGAACGTCCGGGACTCGGGTTTGCATCGAGCAGTCCAGCTTTGGCTTCAAAAGACGCTAGTTTGGACATGTTTGGACTGCAATTCAAATTGATGCTGCTTTCGCAAGTGCACCTCCACTTGCAGCATTGATAAGGTGGGATTGGGCTCCACCGTTGGTCGACGCAGCTGCCCACTCATCGTTTTTGTTTGGACAAAAAGGAGAGTGGAAGACTCTTTGATTCTCCAGTTGGGAGCAGAAGCAGCCTTGCATTTTGTTGACCTTGGGGACCGGAAATAGAGAATGCGTATTCTTGTGCATGCCTTGTCTATGTCCAATGCAGTTGGCGTTCGAGTGGAACATTCGTCGCAGTTGATGTTACGTGCATCTAGTGGAATTGAATCCGGCGCACACTGGTAGTAGCAGTAGCAGTAGCAGCTTCTCACAATGATTTGCTACGAAAAGATTGAAAAGCTCTGAGAGGAGCTGGATGATGACAAACATGGCACTTGTCGCGGCAGTGTGCTCAAGTTGGACTGTGCATTCCTTGCGATTGCTTAAATTCAGTGACCATGGCATATCAGTACCCTGCTGAACCTGTTGGCATGCCGCCAGTCTACACTGGGGTTCCGTACACGACGGCTACTTTCGGTGGCTACTCCATGGCACCAATGGCTGCAAGTAGCTTGGACCATTCGCAGGGTAAGTGGTTTGCTCCTGGTGAGCCTTTGCCACCAGGCTTTGTGGTGACGGCGCATCCTGATGGTCACACTGCCCCCCAGGAGAGTCATGCAATGACGGACAAGGCTCGCGAAAGCTTTGTCATTACTGCTGGCAGTGCTGCCGCAGCTGTGGGTAGTGCTGTGAAGACCGGGTCGTCTGCTCTCAAGAGTAAGAAGAAGAGCAAGAAGAAGAAGAGCTCTGGCATTTGCTGCTGACTTTCTGAGGATGATGCCACACATCGTCGTATCGCAAAATGCCAGGTGTCACCAGTACCCGTCTTGAAAGGGATCGAAGCTTTAAAGAGAAGCGATTTGTCAAAGACTTTTGCCGGCTGGCTGGGTCTTTGCAAATAGTGCATACATCATCATACATCCATTTGTATACATGGTTTGGATATCTCTGGATATGCATGGCTTTTGTATGTTTTTGTGGTATTCGATCGTTTGGTTTCTAGTATGACCTCAGCCAACGTGAAGCTCAACAAGCACCATCAATGTGCACAGAAAATCATGAGGTCGGCACGGGACCCCGCAGCCATGAAGGGGGAACTTTCTGGCTCAAGGAGCTGGTGACCATCTCAAGTCGAATGAGGTTTTGCCAACATACATGACTCGTTCTCTTGAGGTTGATTCACCACCCAAAAGTCTTGTCGGATAAGAACCAACACTATCGTGAGGTCTGGTTCCCTCAGAGAGGCCAAGGCTCGAGACTTTTAGAAGCACCTTCCAGCGATAAACTTAAGCGATATGGAGCAGCACATATCTGACCCCTACATTTGTTTGATCTCTGGCACAAGACCGGAAGGCCGAAGCAGGCGACTTGTCCTTGTCCAAACAAATCCCAGCTGGAGTTCAATCCATACGTATCTCTTGAAGTGCCCACACTTTTTAGAGGGCAATATGAAGAGAATCAAGAGGATGTACATGGTTGGAAGCACCTCTTCGCTCAGACGCATCCGACTCCATGTTGTGAATGGAATGTCCGTTGCAATCTTCAATGTGGCACGTTCCGTTTCCAGTGGCTGAAAAGAGGCCAGTCTTGGGGCAGTTGAACAGAAGGACATACTGAAACCTGAGACCTCAATACTAGAGTTACTAGAGACAAGACATCCATTGTGCACTGCCAATGGAAATCTCTACATTTCAGGGACCCTGAATGGAGCCGAAGCCAAGCTTGTTGTCAACCCACCAAAAGTGCTTCCAGGTTTTCCATATTCGTCGACAGGTCTGGTCAAGTGGATCTTCTGGCCAGTGCCAAAGGTGTCCTCATCTTCCCCCTGTTGGTAAATCGGACCGTGCCTCCCATCGACTCTGTTTGCAATTGTATACAGTAATATATTCCTGCGGACTCAACTCCACTTGTGGTCACAGATACTTTGCACCAAGATTGGGAATCTTTGCAACTGGTCAGGTCCTACCCTCCTGCCTGCGTTCTGGAACCGACTTAAGGATGCAAAACCCCCTCAAGTTTCTTAAACGCCCAAAGAGCACTTGCTTTTCCTGATCCTAACTGCCTATAAAAATGGTCCATTCCAACTCAAGCCCTGCCAGGCCCATCTCTCGTTCCCTACGTTCCATACGTTTCCTACCTGATCCTCAATGGAATCCCAGTGCAAAGGTCGCTGGGGCGGCTTGCCCGCAGTTGATCACGTCAATATTCTCTGGGCGCTGTGGGCGCTGCTTGGCCTCTGCTCCTGTGGTGGCCATCCTCGCCCGGTCGACACGACCGCGGCTGAAGCGGCCACTGGTGGTGTGCAATGTGGCCCGACATGAGGAGATGTGCGAGATACCCAGAACAACTTTGGACACCCACACACACACACAATCTATGGCTCTGTTGCTAAGCCCTGGTTCCGCTATACTCCTGAAACCAGACCAAGGGCAAAGCTCCGAGAAGAATCAATCAACTTGGTCGGGATCTTGATCTTTGCAGCTTTCTGTGTGATGGAGATTTATATAATGTTTTGCTTCACATCAGATATCTTGTATGGTTGTTTCTTTTCAATTGAAATTCTTACCGTATGCTAGCTCAGATCACAAGCTTGCGTCAAGATGTCTTTATATATTATGAACTGGATTTGCGAGGGAAAGACAGTGAGAAGCCAGCTGAGCTTGTGCAGGACATGGAGTACATGGACTTTTCCCCATTGCCAGCTCCAGAGAAGTCCTGGGCTCTGGTGACGGGTGCAGCCACAGGACTGGGAATGAAGTTGGCCCGGGCCTCCGCCCGCGCCGGCTATGGGCTGATCCTCACCGATCAGGCAGCGAGTCTGCCTAGACTGGAGAGCGATCTCGAGGAGCTGCAGAGCTTCACTTCTTTTGGAGTGATGACAATATGTATAGAACATCTAACAATGGTGGGCCGGTCTAAAACAACGCGTCACTTAGAATCGATTTGATAGTGCGGTCATTCCGGTCCCTCAAGAAGTTCAAGGTTCCAACAAGTTTGACCGCGTATGAACCGGAATTTGTCCTCGTCCTCGGAGCAGCCGCTTCCAGGCTTCCATAGTTCCTAAAACCATCTACAGTAGCTGCCCTGGGTCGGCCTCATTGTCGGTGGGCCGTTCTTGATGCGCAGGATCTCAAAATCCCTTCGAGCCGAGTCCTGAAAATGCCAATGAACTTGGCGGATCCCTCCGAAGGTGTTGCTCTGCTTCATAGTCAGATCAGGCCCGGAGTTCAGTCGGGTAAGTGGGCAAGCATTAGAATTTTGGCGCTTGTTTTGCAGTGAACATTTGGAATCTAAGTGAAAGCCATTCAGAAATGACGATTCCCCCAAGTTTGGGATCCAAGAATGGCCAAGACTCAGTCAGGGAAGAAGATTTGGACGTCTGCATCCTGATGGTGTGCTCAGATCAATACTCCTACACAGGCAACTTTTTGGACCAACGAGTTGACAATCTGGACAAGATGTTGGCCTTGAATGTCGGTGCCACCACCGTCTTGTGCCGACTCTTTGGCGAGGACATGCAGCGGGCCGGTCGCGGTCGGATCTTGTTGATCGGAGCCCCACCGGGCGCGTCCTTGGGCGTTGCGGGCGCCTGTGCCTTCGCCGGTTCCATGGCCTTCATCCGGACCTTGTCGAATGGGCTCCGAAAGGAGTTTGCGGACACCGGTGTGGGCATCTCCTGCATGGAAACCTCCACCTTGGGCCGTGATGGATCTTTAACTCAAGCCTTGGAGTCGACCTGTGTTGGCTTCTTGGTGAAAGAAGGGTTGCGAGATGAAGCTGTGGAAGAATCACCAAGTTCTTCCAGTCCACCTCAATTGGAGGAATCTTCTGAGGCGAGGTGAGATTAAGCGAGAGATCAATCATATCACATATCCCACATCCAACCAACTTGAGCTCTTTCGTTTGTAGTTTCTTATTGCAGGACATTGACCAGTCATGGAATGAGGAATACTTGCGGCGCCTTGCCATAATTGGTCGTGTCAATTCGTGCCATGTGTGCTCTTGCCCAGTGAACATTTCTTGACTCTGTGAGCATTTGCGCCAGGCTCGCACAAGAGGAAAACTTTACTCCATTGCCATTTGCAGCCTGCGTCATAGAAGATTCGTTGAGAGGGATTGGACTTGCAAGATGAGGATCTCAATGGAGGGCTGGGACGGGACTTGAGGCGGAGATCGACCGCTTTCAGCATGCGCCACTATCAGAAGCCACTAGTGCCCTTCTGGTAGGCTTAGAGCTTAGATTCAAGCATGTGGATGTCACTGTATGTTGTGCGACTTTGCAGTTCCATGTTCTTCACCCGAACTGCTCAAGCAAAATCCTTGCCCCAGAGCAGTGGTCAAGACGAGCGACTGCCCCGAAGGCTTTGCATTGCTGATCTACGTCTTTGCCCGCTCGCGGAGGGCTAAACAACGGTTGTTGATGGTCGACACTTTGGTCTCAGACACTCACCTTTATCCGTGGAATTGCGCATTTCAATCCACACAGCGTGCCAGCTAGGTCAGAAGCCGACATTGTTGCAACTCAAAAGGGGCACAAGCTTGTTGATGTGGCCCTATTATTGGCATGGGAAGGGTTTGAAGGTTATATTTCCTTTCTGACGGCAAAGGGTCCAGTAGATGTCAAGCAGCATTTGGAATGTTTATGTAAAAGCCGCAAACACAATGCGAACCACAAGTGCTATTCAGCATCTGTGATTGTCTCAACGGCTCCTAAAGGCTCATGCATTTGGGGCAGTACATGTGAGTCGCACATTTCACAAAGCTCTGTCACTCTGGGGTATCTCCGTTTGATGTTCTTAGCAAGGATGCTACTAGGGGCTCCTGGCATCGCTACTAGGAACAAGAAGCTACTAGCAACAAAGGGCATCCCTACTAGGAGCAAGGACGCCAGACATAGCCAGACATAGCCAGACTGGCAGAACCTTTGAGCTGAGGCCCGGCGTGTCCGAGGGCACGAGCCGTGTGCTCGATGCGTGGGGTGTGCCCAGCGGCCTCGATCGAGGTTGATGCAACATGGGATGTACACAAACTGGGTCATCTGACCCATGTATACAATGGACATGACTGGAATATCTTCAAGCTTTCCAAAAGAGGCATTCCGGGCCCACACCCGCAAAGTCCTCGAGAGCTTATGATGCTTTGTTCTTTGTCAGTTTTTTGTTTTTGGATGCTCCAGGATTTGTTGAACAGTATTGAACAGTAGGCCTTGCAATCTCTACACGTGCAAGATGTTAAACTCAGGAGGTCCCTAAATGTAAAGGCTTGACGGGCTTCCTGATGGCTTGATGTGATCGTTTTGTTGTGATGTTCCTGCCGCAGGGTCATTGCCAGTCAGCGAATCATTAGTCACTACTCGCAGCTTTCCCATGAAAGTGGATTTTGAATTCCTTTTTGGGGATGCAGGACAGGTACATTTAGTAAAACAGTGCTTAATTGGACTATATTTGCATTGGCAGCAGATATGCTTACACTTTATTTTCTTTTTTAAATGCCGTGTGACATAGTAGTACCCTGCGAGACCCTTTTTGCATTTCATTGTTATAACAACGTCGCGTGGCCTGCGGAGGAATCCAGACATTAACAAAGTACGATCAAAGAAGGAATAATGTTGAGAAGACATGCGACATTGCAGCTCAAAACATACTCCTGCTGACTGAGGTGTACCTCGGCAATCAACGCCATATTCACCCTGGACTACTTGGGCCGCGACGCTGGCGGAATTTGAGCGACTCTGTGATGCCTAAGAACAACTGGCCTTGCCTATCTGATTTCTCATGCCCAGGCTGGTGGTGTCGGGGCCTCCGCTTCAGCTATCTCTTCAATCCCATCATGACGCTTGGCCAAAGGGGATGAAGGCTATGCTCCGAGGCCTCTTTGTGATGGCCATCCTGGCAAAAGTCGGCCAATGGTTTGTTTATACACCTGGTGTTTCTCACCTGGCATCCCAAGCCTATCCAGAAAAAAAAGAAAGAGCAACTTGTACTGAACTAGCCTTGAAGAGTATATATATATATGTACAGATATAATATAAAGAGTTATATAGTTGGAGCAATCCTATAACTATAACCTATTGCAGTTGTGGCTCAAAGATGTCAACCCATAATGACAGATAACACCCATAGCACTTGCCAATTTCCCCATTCGCAGGGGAAGGTCTTTCCTGGGCCAGTTTTCTTGAACCGGAACCATGTCCGAGACTTCAGTGTCGATGAGGATTGCTGATTTGCTGAGTATCTTGCCCTTCTTGCTGCGGCCTTGGGCTGGAATCTCAGGATTGCCATCCGCTTTACTGTTCTTTTTTGGGCTTTTTCGGACAAAGAACTGCCTTTCAGAGGGAGGGACCAGATGTCTTATGGCCATACCTAAGGTTCCAGCTGTGGGTGAGTTGGAGCTCACCTTCCTCAAACTGATCAGGGTGCAACGAATCTATCGCTCTTTGGCTTTGAATTTGTAGATGCTGCAATAGCCCGCGAAGACCAACCACACATTCAGTGAAGCGCCCACAAGAGTCCGCGAAGCCAAAGTGAAGCAACACAACAGCAAGTGGCGGGGTATTGCATCACCAGTGCGAAGCAACGAAGCGAGAATCCTGAGTAGCCCTTAGCCTTAGCGAATGAACCAGTGAAAACCTGACAAACTGTACAAGACATGGGGACCCATCAACCTGATCAACCAATCCCTTGCTTTATGGTTTGCAAACGATGCGATCCCAGACCTCGGTATTTGGGAACAGTAAGGCTTAGTTAGGGTCACTGCGGGTGGAACCACAAGACCTTGCACACCTGCTAGGAGACTCAACTCTGGGGGTTCGGCATCTTGACCGAAAGCAGACACATGGAATTTTATTGGTTTCTTTTCTCCCTTGGCTCGACATTTGCAAAGCCGGTATGTTGCTGCTGTGTTGACTGCCTCATCAGGCTTCTTCCGGCCAAAGGCCGCGACCTCAGCAGGTGGTGATGAGGCGCGTGGTCCATCAAGGAGCAAACTTTGTGAGGACTCGCTGGTTCTGATGTGTTCTGTCGATCCTCTTGGCAACAGAAAACGACCCTTCCAAGGCCTTCAAAAGCTTCCTTCGCATTCTGCTTGGGCCCGAGGAGGCGTGGCCTGGTGCTGTGTGGAAACATCATGAAACATCATGTTGACATGGGGCAGCAGCATGAAGCAGCAATCTCCCAACATGAATATGCGGGACACAACCCCTGCACACCATTTCCATATCCATCAAGTTCTATATTTTGATCCACCATACAGAGCGAAGAGTAGGCAAAGTTATGCTGCATGTCTTGGTGTCCCCTACCAGACTTGCTACACATAAGTCATGCTTTTGAAGTTACCCCAGTCTGCTTCAGGAAGACAACCATCAAACGAGAACTGGGTGGGTTTCCGGGAAGCAACGCTATCACCTGGAAGGAGGTTAAGTTTCCCATAGTTTCCTAACAATCTAGGAACCAAATCATTAGCGCGTGAGCTATCCTGCGTCCGTCCAGCGACTAGGAGCTAACTAGTAGCTAGAAGCGAACTTACTCCCTTAATTAAGTAGGCACCTACTTAATTAAGGAGGCAGGGCCATGGGCCAAACATAAAAACACCAGGCCATAGACCCGCCTGCGAGGCGCAGAAGTATGAGAGCGGAGTCCGTGAAGTGCGTCCCTATCAGCTGCAGGCGTTCGTGGGCGTGGTGAAACAGACAGAGGGGCCGGCCCACGGTGCCCACACCGGTGCACCTCAATCCTGGTGAATCAAAGTGTGTTCTGGTTCCTAAACTCGAAGTTTATACTAATAGCTTCTTGTTACTACTAGTAAGGCCCTTGCTCCTAGTAGCGATGCACTTGTTCCTAGTAGCTTATTGTTGGTTCCTAAACTCGAAGCTTATCAAATACTTAGAACAAAGTGTGTGGGTGGGATTGAGAAAGAGGCTTCAGAAAGATTTCCAATTTTTGTCATTCTATGTACACAAGTTCTTTGTTCATTTATGTCACACCTGCAACTCTCATTATGTCATTATGTTTTGTGGAGTGTACAGTCATGACATTCTCGGATGTTCTTTGGCCATTCTACTTGAAGATCACTGTCAGTTGGCAGGTCCTGCGCACCTTTGGGGTGGTCTTCACCTTGCTCTTCATCACGGCCGCGCCAGATGTCTCAGACAGTTCTGTGTCATCCTGTGACACACAGCCGTTCTGAGATGGTTAGAGAAGTAGGTGCACCGTCTTTTTTTAGCCTTCCTAAGCAAAGCACCCTTGTAGCATCTTGGACAGAGATGAAGTTGTGTCGGAAGCAGCTTGGGCCTGTGATCCATAGCATTCATTGGAGGAGCCGAGGAGCCACCACGAGAAACATATTACCTTCAGTTTGGCCAATGACTTTTTATAGAGGATTTCCAGCACGCACCTCATCAACTGTTTCATTTCAGCGCTAGACTTTTAGGACACTGCTCAAGTGCAATTCAACTGAGAAACCAGGCTATTCTACGAGGCTGAGCAAGAGGAGAATGCACAGCGGGAATCTCAACATGTTAGCCTTTAACGTGCGCTTCAGATCTGGAAAATTCAAGCAAACTGCAAAAAAGAAAGACTCGACAGATGGCTATGAATAAATATCACTATGTGAATATTCGGCTACTATGAACAAAGGGCATCGCTACTAGGAGCAAGGACGCTACTAGGGGCTCCTGGCATCG